GAACATTCATTATTTCGGGTGTGTTTTTCTTCCGAAAAAAGAAAGAATCATTGGCTACAGATGAGTTTTCATTTACGAAAGAACGATCGTTTCGTATCATATTTATAACAATAACGGTTTACAAAATCACCTCGCACGTAATTACCGAATTTATTTGCAAAAACAATATCATGACAAAAATGGCAGAAGGTACTGTTAACACTACGGCCGCAAAAAAAATTATGCAATTGTTAACAAGCTAGGCACTACAAGCTTGCCAAAGAAGAGAAAAGATTAGGCATCTAGTTGTAAGGTACAAGCACCAAAAGTTGAACGGTGTCATTGAAACGATCAAATAACAGTAAGTAGCAAACGTGTATCACCCTCTAAATAACCCAAAAACAAACAAAAAAAGACTTTCATGTGCGCTGTACGAGTGCAATTATAGGACGGGAATGGTGATTTTGGCATAAACTTCCCTTTCAGTGTCATCGATAGCAAAATAACTATGTCATATTTACTACGGCAGCGACGACAACAGATTCTAATGAGAGTTAACGCATCGTGCGGACGAAAGTGGAGGAGCATGCAAGTTAAGATCTCTTTACTCTAAGCCTTACAAAAAATGACATTTGAAGATGGAAGTGAAAAATCAGGGAAGACAAAAAGAACCGGGTATCGACATAAGCTGATGAATGCCTATTTTGTGAATTCCTGGAAGACAAGCGAAATAGCAATAGCGAGCAACGGCGCAACAAAACCTCTCAATAAGAAACACCAAGTTTCAACAAACCTTTAAGTTGAACTTAACCGATATTCAATCAAGAGATTCGAAAAACAACAACGCACAAATTCACAAACTCAAAAGAAGTCTGGTACAGGCATGGCTGGTTCAGTACAACGCAGAGAAACGAAAGGCATTGATGCATAACAATTTGAGCGTAGTTACAGCTAACTTTAGCGTCAGATTACCGAAATATATTATGAACGATTGCCTACTGTGAAAACAGAACAACGTAAAATGGCAACACTTTGACCGGACGACGTCACCATAAATAAGGCGCTCATAGCGAACAAAAATTACATCGAGGCCTTCCTAAATTTCCCATCAGTTATTTCGATGAGATGCTGCACTGCTATAGGGGATCTTCGGCTTTTGCCAAAACTGATCCTGGATGGAGAAACCATCAATGGTTGCACCGAGATGTTTTGTAGGAATCTGTGAGAAATTCTTCGCACCCGAATCGTACCTAAACACCAAGCGAATCAACGGCTGTATAAAACACATAACAAACTAAAAAAGATAAAGTATAGTATAAAACACATAACAAACTAAAAAAGATAAAGTATAATCTCCTTCTGCTTACTTGAACATCAGCTTCATGATGCTTTCGGAGCATTTCGAAGGCCCTTGACCAGAAATTTTGATGGCGGTGTCGGACACCTAAATGAGCGTAAAGGTATAATTTTGAACTAAATATAGGAGAATAAGCTGGATAGACTTCACTAAGAAAGACATACCTGATCCCAACTGTACAGGCCTCGGTACTGACACTTATAGTCGCGGAATAGAATGAGGAAGTGTTTTGCATCCGAAGCAGCCAGATCATTCATTGTCTATGATATACTCGATGATAACGCATTACAGTACCGCTTAAAGACTTACCTTCATTCTCGTTTGGTCGTTCACAGCTCCTGGGAACACGCTATACTGCAGAGCATTGATGATCAGACCACGATTCGATTTCGGTGCAGCTTTGGCAAACAACTTATGAGCT